TCGCGCGGCGCCTCCAGCAGCAGCAGCAGCAGCAGCAGCAGCAGCATCTTATGATGGTTTATCATAACCAAGTGTTCGCTGTGATAGAGACTGTTTGACACAAATATAACACACCGAGGCATCATATTCACACAGAACATGCAGTGCAGTATTTATGGTGGTGCAGAAAAACCTCAGCATAAAATCACTGCAATATTGCGAGGATGTAAATTTAAGACTTTACTGGATTTTGTGTTTTTAAAAAGTGCTGAATGTTCAACGTGAATGGATCGAAGCTCATCTAAATATGACCCAAATACCTTTTTCAATAACATGGCAGCAAACAGTAAACATAGTCCACAAATAGCTTGAAGTTATAATAAATATGTATAAAGTAGAAAACAACTTTAGGTTAACAATAAGAGCATAGCAATGTATAACCAAAAATACCGAGGATGGCACAAGGGTTAATGATGGTAAAGGAAAAACAGCTAAAGCTCGACTCATAACAAAGCAAACAGAGTTGAACACTTACCAATTTATAGCAAAAAAAACACTTAATGTCAACCAGGAATTAAACCAAACGGGTTTTCATGGTGTTGACTGTGTCTTCACTGAACCTAGAAAAAAAAACAACTTTATTCTGATTCTGTAGTGAAAACATGTTTTTATTGTCAGTGATTTTCTGATGTGGTCGAGTATAAATGTGTGTGTTTTCTCAAAGTGTCAAACAAATGACAAAAAAGTGTCTGCAAAAAAATGGATATCATTTAAACAAATGATGAACTGTAACACAGTGGTACGGACAGAGGCAGTGAGGCGACTAATGGAGGCTGCCTGGATTATTAATGCTGGGTTTGGTGTCTTATTGCAGTGTTGCATTACACACACATGTACACACACACACACACACACATGCATTTTTGTCTCAATCTACTTGTGTGTTGTTATTATGTACAAAACCAACATCCTTAGACCTACGACCACAGTTTAGGTGCTAACCTTTGCCTCTTTTTTGGTGAAGAATGCACATTTTCACAGTGTGTGTGTGTGTGTGTGTGTGTGTGTGTTTCAGGCTGGCAGTGATGGAGAAAGCATTGGAAACTGTCCATTCTCCCAACGACTTTTCATGATCCTCTGGTTGAAAGGTGTCGTCTTTAACGTCACTACTGTTGACCTCAAGAGGTAAATGATGAAGATGATGATGATGAAGATGATGATGATGATGATGATGAAGAAGATGATGATGATGATGATGATGATGACGACGACAACCACGACGACCACGACGATGACGATGATGATGATGAAGATGATGACGACGACAACCACGACCACGACGATGACGATGATGATGATGATGATGAAGATGATGACGACGACAACCACGATCACGACGATGACGATGATGATGATTGTTTTAGTCTGGATAAGGGGTTAAAAATGATTCGTCTCTGATTAGGAAACCAACGGACCTTCACAACCTGGCACCAGGAACACACCCGCCCTTCCTCACCTTCCAGGGGGAGGTACTGACCGATGTCAACAAAATTGAAGAGTACCTGGAGGCAAAGCTGACTCCACCAAAGTAAGACTCACCTGTGCACCACCATTACCAGAACCAGAGGTTAGCAGTGTCCTGACCCATGACCCGTAACAATGTTAGGTATCCAAAACTGGCAGCAAAGAACCATGAATCCAACACAGCAGGAAACGACGTGTTCGCCAGGTTCTCGGCTTATGTAAAGAACACCAGACCAGATAAACACAGAGGTAAACGTGAACCCAACTCCATACAATCCAAACAGAAGCACAGCTTTATTGTTGCCAATAATCTATACACCTGATTCAGATTTAGAGAAGAGTCTGAACAAGGCTTTGTCTAAACTGGACGAGTATCTGATGAATCCACTACCTGAGGAGGTCCAGGGGGGGCGCCACAACGGGAAAGGTGAAAGTACTCGCAAATATCTGGACGGAGATGAGCTGACATTGGCCGACTGCAACCTTCTACCTAAACTTCATGTTGTCAAGGTGAGTTTTTATTTTTCTCTGTTTATTACAGCTAATTCACAGTATGTTTTGGATTCTTTTTAAACGTTGTATTCTGCTCTCACTTGAATCCATACATTTAGTTATTTAAAAGTTGCTTACATTTTAGAGAAAGTCACATTTGATTTTTATCCTTTTTCTACTGCCATCAAGTACCTGCTACTGTACACCTTTGTTGCTCTACGTAGCATTCTAATACAGTGGGTGCAGTTTTTGTCCTAAAAGGTGCTAAAGAAACACAAACATCTTAAAGAAGCCATGCAAGAATGTCTCTTAGTATTTTCATCCTTTTTTCAATTACTGCTATTTACTTAATGTTTTGCAGGTAGTGGCAAAGAAATACAGAAAGTATGACATCCCGTCTGAGTTCAGAGGTGTGTGGCGCTACCTTGGAAACGCCTACGTCCGGGATGAGTTCAGTAACACGTGCGCAGCAGACATAGAAATTGAGCTAGCCTACAAGGACGTAGCTAAAAGGCTGGGGAAGTGATCTGTCTGAATGAAAACGTCTTCTAAATTATTTTCTAAATAACATTAAAAGTCTTCTAAATAACGTCATTTTAAATTTGATAGAATTTACTGTAAGAAGACACATGACTAACTGCAAGTATAACTCTGAATAACACACACGTACTTCAGCTGTTATTAATGGAAAAACAACAGCACAACACTACAACACAATCATTTGTGTAGTTCTGTTGCGTTACAATTAAATTGAAAAAACTATGCATGATCTTGATGAACAAATCAGTGTTGGAGCATTATCTCATCAGCTCCAGATTTTAGATTTAGCTTAGCATTAGCTGTTATCTAGCTAAACACCAGTACATTGCTCATAAACAGTCCAATTTGGCTATAAATCAATAAAATGTTGTAATTGCTAAGTATGCTAACAGTTTAGTAGCAAAACTAGCACATTTCAGATACATACTTTATTTAAAAAGCAATACAACGGCTAACTACTATAGCTAGCCGCTTTTTGACAGATTGACCGCAGCCATTATCCATGTTTAGCAGCAAAAATACGATGATGAAGTTGTTTGTAAAAACTTGTTGAAATTTTAGAAAAATGTAAACTGATATCAATGGCTAAAACAAGAAGGACAAAACAAGATCACTTCAGATGTAATTAGGAATGTAATTTTTATCAATTGGTGAGACACACTGCTTTGCCTTTACTTTTTTAAATATACAGTGTATATATATATATATATATATATATATATAGTATATCACTGTACAGTAAATGATTTACATTTTAACATGTATATGAATTATTTGTCATGGAATGATTTTTCTGTGTGAATCTGTATGATAATCATTAATATAAATCTGTAAGAGCAGAATGCAGCAGAACATAGATTACATGCTTGATGATGACTATAGAACCATAAACCCATGGCGTATATTTGAATAATAAATTTATTTTCTCAGAGTCTGAGCCTGAAAACCTTTTTGTAATTCTGTTTGATGACAATGTGAATTCAAGACTAAAGGAAAACATTTTTTTTATTTTTCTACTGAATTATTTGTCAATACAAAGTTCAGCCAAAAATAATGCCAAATTATACAGCTTGTGTATACAGCCAAAACAACTACTGGTTAAATTAAATTTTAGCCGCTCAAAAGAGGATAAACATAAAGAAAAAAGTAATCAACACAATAGTAAGAGATATAATGGATATTGATATATTTCAAATCCAAGGACCACTAAAAAAATAAATACTTTAATAAACTTAAATTGGTCTGATTTATTGCCTTTTTGCATTTGGTAAATACTTTTTTAAATTGCTTTTACTTAACTTAAATTGACTGGTTCGATCGTTTATTTATTTATTTTTAATCTTTTTGAAATCTCTATACAGTAATATAAAAACCAAAATAAATATGCGAGGCGTTGGATCAATGGGGTTGTTGGTTTTTATCGGTCCAGCAGGTGGCAGCAAAGACCGTGCTTTCTTAGCTTGTTATACCAAGAGCGAGAAGTAAGGGACCATCCTATTTTGAAGGACCGTGCAAAACGTAGTACACTAAGATAATGTCTCTTTTTTCTGTTTCTCTCATACACACTTCTAACTAATGAATGAAAATGTTTAAAACATGTTGACGTGGCTATTACTATTTTAATTCTATAAACCACAACAATGTAAGTGGGAACTGCTTCATGTGTATTGTATGTAACTAGTATTCTGCCAACAAAAGATACCACTGGTTCTAAATATACTGTAAGTTCAAATTTACAGATAAATGAGAAATCAATCCATTCCATTTAAAAGCTACAGCTGTCAGTTAACAATGTATGTCCTGTACAAAAAAAATTCAAAATCTTTTTTTTTTTAATTTAATTTAACACAAAACATGCAGAACAGGTAAAATAATTTAATTTTTTGATTTCTCAAAGATTTAACACATTTTAAAACAATTTTGACAACAAGAACAATGCAGAAAAGGTTCTATTTTGAAAAATGTTCTTTACAAAAATTAACTGTTCTGACCATCTGACCAAAATTATTATGCAAAATTAAGTTTTTTGCCAAGAAATTCTAAAAAAAAATAATTAATTTTGATTCTGACCAAAAATCACGTAAACCTAGGATTTTGCTGAAAAATTCCAGATAAACTTTTCAAAAAAATTCTCAAAATGTGAGAATTTGATGAGAAACATGCAAAAATGAAATAAATAAAATTTTGAAAATGTTTTTTTACATTCATTTCCATGAAAATTGGTTAATACCTGACCAAGAATATGCGAAATTTGGATTTTGTTGAATTTGTATTTTCATTTTCTTCATTATTTTCGTGATAAAAAAATGTCTAACCAAATAAAATAAACAGTAAAAAATACAGTAATACCTTGAGATACGAGCATAATCCGTTCCAGGACTGAGCTCGTAACTTGCTCGTATGTCAAATCGTTTTTTTCCACCTTCGAAATAAAAGAAAAATAATTAATCCGTTCCGGATCCGTTCTCTGTAACCGGTCTGTCCGTCTTGGCCAGTATTCACTCACCTCTGTTCAGCCTCCTCTCTCCTTGGTCCCGGCTCCTACTAATATAAGGAGAGGCTTCATTACTCCAACTGCGCTCACCTGTGTCCGGGGCTGCACCTCGCTGTTCCCGAGCTCTTCCTCCTGCTGCTGGGCGTATTTACGTAATATGAATGTCTTATATTTCCATTATACAACTCTACAGTGAAAAGGTAATACAGTGAAGGGAGGGTTGATAACAGTGTGTGTGTGTGTGTGTGGGGGGGGTCATATACGTAAATAATATAATAATAACTATCTCACCCCTACTTCGGATTTAAAAGTCTGAACTTATTTTCTGAGAACAGCTGAAAATTGAAATATTTTCCAGAATGTAACAAACATTTTCTTGCTTTAGTTTTTAATTTTGCCAGAACTTTCTTATTGTTATCACTGTGTTCAGAACACCTTTGAATGTGTGCACAGTACAAGCTTCTCTTCAACATTTTTGCCTTTCTTGTGTGATTCCTCTGCCACTAGATGGAGCCGTTGTTTACTATTTTCTGATGTTTGATTTACATTTTTTAGATTTCTATGAAAGTAAAATGTTTTATCAATGTGACCTCTGACCAAAGTCAAGAGTGATTATTGATATATGATTGTAATATATATATACAGTAACAAATATTATGTTACAGGCCACAAAGGCTGTTACCTATACAATAATCTCTACTTGGTGTCATGATACAAATAAAACACACTGGAGCAGAGGTTTGTCACAGAAGGTTTATTTTAAAATAAAGTTATATCCCATCTCATCACAGAAGTTAAAAAAAAAAGAAAGAAGCACAATGATTTCATGTCATCATTCTTCACTTCATACACCAAACTTCTCACTGCTGTTTGGAACTTCATTTGAAGAAACAAAGTTGTTGGCAAAATGGAGTCGGCTCAAGAAAAACTATAGCCACTAACTATAGCCACTCTGTGAAGGAAAAACTAATTTTAACATGTGGTCACTTGAATTAATCAGATTATAATCTACATGCCAAAAAAAAAAAAAATTTTCAAGGCAAACACATTCGCTTTTCTCCAAATGTTAAATAAATACATTTGGGACAATGGCATTTAATTCTTAAAAAAAAAAAATCAAATAAATTAGGAAAAATAATATATATTTTTGATGAATATATTATGAATATATTATGTTTTTTGGCTAAGAATTAGAGAATTTCATTATGGTAGGTTTTTCCAACACAACAGAAAACTATACTATAAAAAAGGCAAGTTGTGTTTCCATACAAGATTAAACTCTTCATCTGGACTGTGTGGAGATCAACATGGACACTGACTCTTTTATCAACAATTTAGTCTTTTTTTTACAGCAATTCAATTGCAATTAAATGATGTGCATTTAGCCACTAACTCTAAACAAAAGTTCACGAAGAAAATCAATCAAGTCTCATGTAAGTTTTATGTCACATAAAAAACCCTCAAATTAAAGTAAACCATAAACCATTTAAAGGCAGTTGCTAAAATCACAAATTCTCTTTATGAACTCTGTGGTGAAAATCACCTTACAGTGAAATGGAGCAGTGGAATCTTTTGAACATTTAACTTTTTACCAATACATTTATAATACAATCGATCTCTCTCACACCAATGTCCGTCCAGAAAATGACTGATTTCACCAACCCAAGGATACACGAGCGTTATCCATCCTCTGCTGCAGCCTACGGTACTTTTCTCATCTTTTTGTTTAACACAACAGTGAAATAAGGTGACCACAGGAGGCAGCAGTGGACCAGCAGCGCGTGTTTCAATGTGAAGTTGAATTGTACATTTTCTCTATGGATTTCTCTACAGAAAAGTGGGCAAATTGACAGAAAAGCAGTCGACAGATTCTCTATAATGATAGGCTTGGTCATCATGAAAAAAAAAAAAACATTTAATAAAAACAAAGACAAGTCTGACCCAGTTGCTCATACACATGACAATAATGTTGCTCTTAAAAAAATAATCTGCATAAATAAAAAAGAAAACAAAAACAGACATCCCATCTTTCCGATAAATAAAAACTGATTTGCAGCAGAAACAGAGATAAAGATCTGTATACAAAATAAATTAAAAAAAACCTTTTCAACCCATATGAACAATTTACAGTGTCACCAACAGAGTATCTCATAGTGCAGTTTTCATTCACCACAAAAAATCTACAGATTTATTCTCTATCTTTATTTCTAGATCTTAGCAGGCAGATGAAGACACCTCCAGCTGCTGTGTGAGACCCATCCAGGCTGTGTTTCTAACTTTTGTTTTCTTACAAAAACAAAATCTTGAAAATGTCACTTGGAGTTTAAAAGTGTTAGCGGCTGGCTAACATTTTCTGTTGCTAAAAAAATGCTACGTCACCACGTTACCAGAAAAGACTCCATGTGTCTGGATGTTTCACTGCTGTACCGTGTTCATGGTTCTCTACTGACTCGTTTGCTTATTAATCAAACAATCGAACAGGACAATTTGTAATATGTAATATTTAAAGGGACAGTTCAGTGTTTCTGAAGTGTAATTTTTGTATTAACAGGTTTTTGACTTTGGACCAGGGCAGCTGGTAAACAGGAACTGATGGTCTACTGCTGCCCCCTGTGGTCGGTTTGTGTTAACACAGTAAGCCTGAATAAGAGATTTTGAAGCCATTAATGAAGGCATTTAGGTTTGATGATGGAGGCAGCAGAGACAACATACTCCTGTGTGTTGGGAGTGTTGTTTCAAGCCTGTGTACATGGAAATCCAGTTTTCAAATAGTATCTAGTAACTTAAGGTAAACAAAGCTTTTCTTAAGTGGCTCAAACCCAGGTTCCCCCAGGTACCTGTTGTATTTTCTGGTCGTCTGTGTCAAAAAAACTACAACTGTGTCCTACGTTTTTGTTCTATTTCATTCATTTATTTTTAAAACTACTTTACAACTATTGGGAAAACCCCGAACTGTGCCTTTATACTGGGCCTAGAACAGGACAGTTTCTCTGCTGCAGAGAGAGAGAAAAGCTGTGTGTTTAACATTAAAGAGTGTGTGAGGAAAACAGCAGAAAAGATCCAGAATAAAAATCTAGATTATTTCTTTTACACATCCACTCTCATCACTGTTGATGTCAAGAAGAGGTGAACAGATTACAGTGTTAAACTCTGTGTGTGTGTGTGTGTGTGTGTGTGTGTCCAGTGTAAACTTACCCTAAAGAAAAAGCAGAATTTCTTTTTAGCAGGGCCGTAGATAAGTGTGCAGGGGTGGGTTTTAGGGGCGGGGCATTAGTCAGACAGGGAGTAAGCCCATCTTTGTTAATGTTCTTGGAGACCAACAGGAAGTCAGTGATATGTGCAGGTCTGGTCTCCAGGTGGTGACAAACGAAGCAGAAGTCACTTCAAATTTACGAACGAATGTGTGTTAAGCACCGCCTACACTCATGTGTCCCCGCCCCCGTCTGATAGGAGTCTGTAGCAGTGGGCACGTCCCTGCTATAGGCAGTCCTTGCACAAAGCCACTTGTCCCTTCATGTAGTCACGGCAGGGACAGACGCGCCGCAGTGAAGGGTGAGCACCAGCACAGCTGAACAGCAGCAGGTCTGACTGAAAGATGCAGTGGTGCTGTGAGTCGCTGTAGGCCGGGACCATGGTGTCGGCGCTCGATTCCACGGTCTGACAGTCCACGCCGTACCTGAGGAAACAGGCCCAGACTGATCATGAGCTGGAGAAACAGATCCTGAAGGAAACCAGTAACCAGCTAACTTAGTCTCTGGTACGATCACACTGCACTTAAACCCTGGCCTGTTTAGTTTAACACAACCATGACATAAGTGCAGGAATTGAAGAAAGACACACACACTCAAAGAGTCTCTCTTTTTTCAATTTTTACAGCATCGGCTGCCGCCTAGTGGCAGGGTATTTAATTGATTTTAAATAAGGAAAGCACTTATCATTGTGACACAACAGACCTCTGACCGACAACCAACCGACCACAGTATGTAGAACAAATTAAAGTGAAAAATGAACTGTTTGTCATTGTGACACAACACGCATCTGCTTTGAACCAATCACGTGAGCAGGGGGCAGCTTAAACACCCGGGGAGCAGAGTGTGGGGTCAGTGCCATGATCAGAGCACCTCAGTGGGGACTAGGCTGCTGGTGGACTCGAACCTGAAACCTTCCAGACCCCAGTCTGCTTCCTTATCCACCACTGCACCACAGTCTCATTGAAGAATAGTTTTCTGGCCAATTAAGACATTGGATACATTAACAAAGCACAGCTGAAGATCTGACGACCACTGTGATGTGGAGTCACTGATCTGAATGACCAAGTGTGTGTGTGTGTGTGTGTGTGTGTGTGTCTTACCTTGCCAGGTCCTTGTCCTTGTTCAGGTGCTGGAAGAAGGACGGCTCACAGATGAGCTGCTCCTCCTGACACACCTGCTTACAGGAGTGACCAGGCTCGGCCATCTTCACCTGCATGGCACCGAGCGGCGGCCACATCACCTGACCGTGGCAGAAGTCCTGATGATGGAAAACAAACTTGTTCAGCAGCAAATAACTCCCTCTACTGGACCAAAACTGTGACACAGGAGCTGTGGGTCCACTGCTGCCTCCTGTGGTCAGGTCAGTCATTGAGGTTAATGTGAACCAATAGCTTCAAACATCCATGTCAAAATGAAACACATTTAAACCTAATGTCCTGTCAGCCATGATCACTGAGGTCAAGGCAGTACCTGGTTCTGGATGAAGGCGTTGACTCTCTGCAGCATACCCTCACACGTGAACTCATACGGCAGGTACGGCTCAATCTGGAAACACACGCAGAACACGCAGTGCTGAGTGTGTGTGTGTGTGTGTGTAAGAAAACATGAGCTTTTTCTTCTCTTTTACAAAGGAATAGTTGAAACAACTGTTTGCTTTGTGTCTCCATTGAGTGTGAAAGTGCACGTGAGCGTGCACATGGTAGTCCACGTGGAGCCTCGTAGGCTGCAGCCCGACACGGGTCACAGATCATGTGCCACTCTGGTCTTATGAACAAAGCCATTGTTCCTCAGTTCTCTTCTCTTCATCTCTCTCTCTCTCTCTGTCGTTCCACTTCCACGTTAAGATTCACACGCGGAGGTTTTATTACTTTTTACTTTGCTGCTTTTTCATGAAGGGAAAGAATAAATAATTCAACAGTTTCTTACTGTTTTTGTTCTTCTTTTATCTTCATCACTCCAAGGTATTTCACTATGAAAGTTTACTCTGATATAGTATTATTTGGAAGTTACGCAAAGTTATCTATTCTTAGAAACTTCTCTCTTTAACTTTTATAACACAAATAAAAATGATTATTATTAATATCAATGTTTAATATAGACTAGACCAGAGGAGATTAGACGAGACAAGACTCAACTCACTCTAGAATAAACTAGACATGACCAGAGTAGACAACTAGACAAGATTAGACTAAACCAGATTAGACTAGATTAGATAAGACTAAACCAGATTAGACTAAACCAGATTAGACTAGCAATTTATATGAACCTGCTGTTAAAATTCTGACACAAAACTTGATAGATTGGAGGGTATTCAGTCAAAAGTATTTCCTCTCACAGGATGAGTAAAATGTGATGCCTGTTTCGTTTACCTTCTGCCTGAGGATGGAGCGGATGGCTCTCTCCACCTCAGCAGCGTTCTCGATGTCCACTGTCCACACGTGAGGTCGACCGATGTAGACCTCAGCGTACGGGTGCTGAGACGTCAGCTGACGAGAATAAAATCATCACAGACGGTCAGAGCGAGACGACAGAAACGATGAATGAAAAGACGACGACGGGTTAGCTTTAATCTGCTGGTTCTTCTCACCTCTCTCAGCGTGGGCTTGCCTTTGAAGAAGTCTGTGTTCTTGCTGCTCTTTGGTGGGTTGAACTTGGGGTTGAGAAAGACACAGCCGTTAGCGATGGCCTCCAGGGGAGCAGGACCCTCGTAAGGGAAGGACAGACCTACGAAGAGCTGCAGAGAGAAGGGCAGGTGGTTGTAAACACTGTTTTATTTTAGGGTATACTTCATGTACATAACAGTACAGTCACAACAGTAACAGGTGAGTTTTTTTCTTAGCATCTAGTGCAAACTAAGCAGAGAGGTTTTAATGGTGTTGTGGAGCTGGTTCCTGTTTGCTGATAGCATCTGTGTTCTCCTTGTTGATGCAAAACTCCCTTCATTATCCCTCCTTTCAGGTAAATATTGACTTTATCTACTGTAAAACAAGGAGGCAAGGAAACAGATCAGGGTCAGGAGAAGTTCAGGAACCTCTGTAAAACAGAGACACATGGAGGAAGCTGGAAGCTCTCAGGTTCCAGAGCAGCTCCATTACAGAGTCCACAGTGAGGGGTGTGATGTGTGTGAGCCTCTGTAACAATGACTAGTCTGTGTGGAAGAAAATCTCACACATCAACAGTTTCTTTAACAAACAACACAGAGCTGGACCTGGACACATGTCTGTGTGCTGGTTTGAGTGTTTAGAAAACAGGGCACCCTGTATCAACAGGTGGCAGCAGAGAGCCTTGTCTGCCTGTCTATAGCTCATACAGCAGTGATTACCAACCACTGTGCTGTGAGAGATCATTAGCTGTGATGTGGAAAATTCCCTTAATTGGTCCAAAAACTATTATTTATTCACTGCATATAATTTTTCTTTGCTCGTCACAGGATGAAAGGGAGAACAATAAAATACTCTTCTGTTAGGTGGCAGCAGACAAAAACAAAAAAGAGAGAGAAAAGTGAATGTCTTTCTTCAATTCCTGCCAGTATATCAGTGTTGTCTTCAACTAAACAGTCAAAGATTTTAGTCGATTATGAGGTCTTTTAAACAAGAAGATTAATATATTTAATTACATATACTTTTTGTTAGAGATAATATATATTTGCCGTGGCTCAAAAAAGGTTGGGAAAGACGTAGTAGACACAGTTCAACACCAGGAACAGGAGGAGACGCTGTGGACAACACAGCTGCTCAGAGCCAAGGCTCTGAATCACATTTAAATTCCTGCTTTGATTGAAAGATTTGAATTAACAGATTAAAGTGGCCAATCACCATCAGTGATGGCATTAAAATAAACTGCTGTACTAATGACCTTTTCAGTAAGGGGTGATCTAAGTAATTACTATTCGCATTGTTACAATGCTGTTACCCACAATTAAATGGGCGCGTTATAAACTAAAGCTGCTCAAACTGTTGTCACTCGACTCTCAGCCACAGGAGTGGATGAAATTAACACATACATATATATACATATATTTATACATATATTTATACATATATTTATACATATACATATATATATTAAATAAATTAAACAGCAATGCATCAACCAATCAGAACATTGGCTGATCTAGAATTAACCAATAAATTGACCAATAAATCGGAGATTACAGCCCTACAAATAAGGACATTTTCATTATTTATTTTGAATTTTAACAATAAAAAGAAAAAGGTTTTTCCAGACAAATTGTTTCATTTGTATTCATTTTTTTTTTTAAGACAAATTGTTTCATTTGTATTCATTTTTGAGAAGCTTTAATTTTTGAAGACTTTTTCAGAATCTTATTGTCATAGAATATTACTGTGATTAATGGTTAACTTTTATTATTGAAGATAACACTTTTGATAAATGGCTGCAATAAATAATAAAAAAATCTTTATAAATACTTGTTTCTGCAGTTCTGGCTAATGAAACCAGACATATATTTTTTAAGACATTTAAACTTAAATAAAGGAATGCAATAGTACAATCCCTGCTAACCTTTATATTGTAGCAATTCAGATATTAACACTTTTTGGGAGAAAAAACGAGTAACTATAACTAATTACCCAACACTGCTCACTGTGTTCAGAACAAAGAAGTGACTTCACTACTTCTATTTGTGTCGGAGAGAAAAGTCAACTCTACACCGCACACGTTATAGAAAAAATATTTTCTTCTAAGAGCTGTAAATCACTAATACAATAACTGATGTGGACGATGACATTTTCCAAGGAATTGTGGCTCAGATGTCACACGTATGCATGTCAGTGACTCACAGTACTGTGTGTCCACACAGTCAAGCCTCCTGAGGCTCATTAACTCAGTAAAGGAGCTGACTTTGTGGAACAACAGAAATCATTCACTTTTCTTAGATTACTTTAACATATTATAATACTACAACCTCAACAGGTGATAAGGAATTACAGTAAGAACTGACCTGAAAGAAGTTACAGCAAACACTTCTAAGCTCTGGATAATTTAGTGATTGATAAAAGTCATAAAACTCATAAAGGAGCGGTGACCTTGTAAAGAATATTTGGTTTAAGATAAAACCCTGTCAGCAGCTAGATGATAAAGGCCAATGCAAGGTAAGATTTAATAAGGAAACAATAAATCATCAGCCAATAAAAGACTGGGCTCCTGCTGCTCCTGCTGCTCCTGCTGCTCCTGCTGCTGCTGCCACAGGGAGAGTCACCTGAACTCACCTTGGTCTCTCTGAGCAGGAACTGCAGGTCTCGGCCGCTCAGTATGCCGTGGTTCTTGACGTAGCTGGGCAGGTGCACGGTGCTGGTGCCGTGCACGGTGCCATGCACTTCCATGTAGCTGTGGATGATGTCCAGGTAGTGTTTCCTGTCCTGCAGACAAAGAGGATACACAGGTGGTTTGAACAGGCCAGAGTTGTGATTATGTTTTCTTTTTTTTTGTTTTTTTTGTTGTTGTTGAATGTTTTCTTTTTTTTTGTTTTTTTTTTTGTTGTTGTTGTTGTACACGTTTCAGAGAAGTGGTGTTGTTTTTGTTTTTCCCTGATGAACCTTGTTTTCACTCTCTGAGCGTCTGGAACCACAGTGAAAACAGCCAGGAGTCAGTGGATACAACGACACGTGGGCTGAACTAAATGCTATACATTCTTTTCCCAATCCCTAAATGTGAGAAAACCAGAGATTTTACAGCACAACCCAGAAGAGGATGTTGATCATCAGCCGATTCTGTCAGTCTGTAAACATGACTTCCCAGTTTCCATTTCTCAAAATAACTTGTGTGACGTCCCTTTTCTGTGAATGCTGTTAGAATCAGTGTGCACCATAACTATGTGTACATGTGTGTACATGTCAGTTCATGGATGACCAGACTTCACTTTGTTTTCTGCAGATTCAAGAGTCATGTTGATGTGCACAGGAAGTCACAGTGACAGGTCTTTAAATTTAAAAAACCAGGACCAGGAGCCGCCTCAAAGGATGGACACAGAGTCTTCCCTGCAGATCAAAATGTGTGTGTTGTCCTGTTTGTTGTTGTTGTTGTGGTTGTTGTGGTGGTTGTTGTTGTGGTTGTTGTTGTGGTTGTTTTTTATGGTTGTTGGGGTTGTTGTTGTTGTTGTTGTTGTTGTGGGTGTTGTTGTTGTTGTGGTTGTTGTTGGTGTTGTTTTTTATGGTTGTTGTGGTTGTTTTTGTTGTTGTGGGTGTTGTTGTTGTTGTGGTTGTTGTTGGTGTTGTTTTTTATGGTTGTTGTGGTTGTTTTTGTTGTTGTGGGTGTTGTTGTTGTTGTGGTTGTTGTTGGTGTTGTTTTTTATGGTTGTTGTGGTTGTTTTTGTTGTTGTGGGTGTTGTTGTTGTTGTGGTTGTTGTTGTGGTTGTTTTTTATGGTTGTTGGGGTTGTTGTTGTTGTTGTTGTTGTTGTTGTTGTGTACCTACTAACAGCAGAACTGTAAAGTAACGTTCAAGTGCTGTCCTTCAGGAAAGTGCTTTAACCAAACACTGGTAGTTTTCACAGTAGCTCTGAGACAAACACACACACACACACACACACACACACACAATCACACACACACACACCCATCTATGCTGAGTCTGTAATGATTATAAGCAGCCTGAAAGGGAGACAAGAGCAGACTGCATGTGTGTGGGTGTGTGTGTGTGTGTGCACTCGACTCAGTGTTTGGTTGTAAGGTTTAAATTTCAGGTAGTCACTCGTCTCAGTCTCTGGAGGCAGGACTATCAGATGCCTGCAGTCAGCCTGCTGTAACTAAAGATGTGTGTGTGTGTGTGTGTGTGTGTGAGAGAGAGAGAGAGAGATAATTACGAGGCTGAAAATTTTTACTCTGCAATCTTTACACTCAGTCACTTGGGGTATGTGCATATAGGAGTTCAAAATGAAGGTTATTGGCAGACAACCAAACACACACACATGCACACCATCTCTCTCTCTCTCACACACACACACACACACACACACACACAATTCAGTAAAGACAAAATATACATTGTGTATTGCTGGCCACAGGAGGCGCTTGTCTCTCACTGCCAGTGGATCTCTCTCTCTCTCTCTCTCTTTCTTTCTGTCTGTCCCAAAGTCTCTTTCTCAGTCCTCTGTCCTTTTCACTGTACTCTGTTTTGCTCGCTCTCTCTCTCTCTCTCTCTCTCTCTCTTCCATACTATGAATTCGTCCCAGCTCTGTTTAAACACATCTCAGTCAAACCTCGTCCTGACTTATCCCAGCAGCTCACTCTTGTGGTTTCACCTTTTCAGCTCACACCGTTCACACCTTCAGATTCATCAAACACCACAAACCACAAACAAACTTCAACTCCTTTGAAGTTTATAAGCCGCTGTAATCCCTGGTTTAAGACATGAACGCAGAGTTGTGACCAGAGTTGAAACCCTTTTTTTTCTTCCATCCAACCAATAACACTGATTCAAATGTGACCCTAATGTCAGCCGTGACTAACAGTCACAGTGAATCTGTTGGTGAATGCAGTGATGAGTCCAACGAGCAGGAGATAGATGGATGGCCGCGGCCTTGTACAGCAGCAGAACGCTGCACTCCGAGGTTATAAAGTAGCTGGAGAGGTTGATTGAAGCAGGAGAGGAGGAGGAGGAGGAGGAGGAGGAGGAAGATTTATGGTGGTGTAAATCAGAGGGAATTTGTGAACCACTGGAAACAGGAGAGGTGGTGCTGCTGCTGTTGAGGGATGAGCATCAGGGGTGGAGCTACTGATGTAGCTCCCCCCCCCCCCAGGGTAGCAGTTTGACAGTCACAAATGAAAACAGCAATTACATCTGCTTTATAGCCACACTTTCAGTTAGACTCCGTCCAAGTCAGGTGCTGCGCTCCTGCCAAAAACACTACACACACCAGGAAATGTCCTCTGCTTTCTGATACTGCTGTGGTGTTTCCTGAGACAGTAAGAAAGACAAACAATTCAGGACAGATTATAAGGTATGGTCGCTGACAAAAAGATAAAAAAAAATGTATTGATGAGCTATAGGTGAAGGGATGATTTTTTCAAATTATGATTTGTTGTTAAATGCTAGAAATGACTAAAATATAAACAAGACCAAAATTCAAAGGTGCTCCTTCACAGTTCTATCAAAGCCAACATCATGGGTCACTAAGATGAACTGTGTTTGTTTACTCTCTAAAAGCAGTACTAGTGACTGTCCCTTTATACTGCAGGTTCTAGGTATCACAGAGAACCAGTTGTGTCTCATTACATACTCATTTTCAACACTGATGCTTATTCATTTATTATTCCCCGGACTTTACTTTTTCCACCAATAAATCCATCCATTATGGTTTTCATGGCAGTGTGAGAACTCCTCGTGGGAATGGTGAGGCTGCGTCCTGCCGACTGCTGAGGTTAAATGTGAGTGCACAGCACATCGTGCACTTATTACTGAACCTC